CTAGGTAAGCATAGATATATAATATATTGACCAAGTTTGAGTCAAGCGGAAATGTATAGAATTCTATAGAATTCTAGGTTAGTACTGTACGTAGAATTCTATAGAATTCTAGGTAAGCATAGATATACAATATATTGACCAAGTTTGAGTCAAGCGGAAATGTATAGAATTCTATAGAATTCTATCAGTGACTGGGAGTGGGGGCGGGGGTGGTCTGCCGTGCATGAAAGTGAGTCACTAATCAACTATATTCGTACTAACGTAGAATTCTATAGAATTCTATACATTTCCGCTTGACTCAGACTTGGTCAATATAATATATATCTATGCTTACCTAGAATTCTATAGAATTCTATACATTTCCGCTTGACTCTGACTTGGTCAATATAATATATATCTATGCTTACCTAGAATTCTATAGAATTCTATACATTTCCGCTTGACTCTGACTTGGTCAATATATTATATATCTATGCTTACCTAGAATTCTACGTACAGTACTAACCTGGAATTCTATAGAATTCTACGTACAGTACTAAGCTAGAATTCTATAGAATTCTATACATTTCCGCTTGACTGAAACTTGGTCAATATATTGTATATCTATGCTTACCTAGAATTCTATAGAATTCTACGTACAGTGCTAACCTAGAATTCTATAGAATTCTATACATTTCCGCTTGACTCTGACTTGGTCAATATATTATATATCTATGCTTACCTAGAATTCTACGTACAGTACTAACCTAGAATTCTATAGAATTCTATACATTTCCGCTTGACTGAAACTTGGTCAATATATTATGTATCTATGCTAACCTAGAATTCTATAGAATAGCTGAATTGCAGGAACTCTGACATCCCTCTAATTACTGGCACTGATTGACTAAGTTAATGATTTCTAAAATTTGTTCCAAACCTTCAGTTTTACGTCGTACTGTTTGCTCTTCAATTACTAGAACTATTTTTAACAACTCAGACAACGAGATTTTTTCACACATTTTCCGATATTGAGCTAGATACACATTATTAAATTTCATTAAACAAAAACTTCGGTGTGAACGAGCTGATTAGATTCAAAAAATGTTTCTCTTGTGTTCGTTCGTTAACACTGTCTGTCCAACATGGCTATTTTGTTGGAAACTTTTTTATCAGTAACAGCACAGACTGTAAATAAAAGAGAGAAAATTAGTCATATAAATCAAATAAAGAACGTGGTATTGTGAAATTACTATTTACAGTGATACTTTTTTCAGATATAATGGAATAGGAGAAAAAGTTGTATTGAATCATTTCTCATAGCAGTATTGACAATGTCTGAAGTATGTGCTAAAGATATTGAAAAAATTGTTTCAGCGAGTCTAAAACGTCTACTACCACGTGATGAGACTAATTTTAAATGTAAGACACTAAAGCGTTCAGGTGATTACCGTTTATTAGGCTCAGATGATAGTTGGTATGAGCGAAATTTTTTTACGTCAAATGAAGCACAATCTATTCTCGAAGAATTAGATGAACAGGTTCAATTTTTACCACGTGGTACATTTAAATTTGAAATTTTTGGACAAGCGAATTTCATAAAGCATTCTATGGAGATGTTCATGAAAAAGATGGAAGTTATCCATTGTACCCTTAGAAACATTTTCTTACCGATTTATAAATTTTTTTATTAGAAGACGTGCAAAAAGTTCTCAGGAACCGCTCAGAAATCGCATGTTTTTATATTCTAATTGGTTCGCTTTTGTTCTGCGCTTTATAGTTTTTAGCTACCCTAGTCGACTTTCTTGCGAGGGCTTTCTTGCCCGAGATCTTGCGCAGGAAATGTCACAAGAGCTTACTTTCTTGGTGCAAGAAGTCTCTTTGATTTATGGTGACTATTCTTGCTTTTATTTCTTGCTTTCTTGCAGGGAATCACCTTCCAGCAAGAATGGGCAAGAAACGCAATTCTTGCTTTCTTGCAGGGGATCAACTACCCTAGTAGAATCCGTGCTTCAGTGCACGTCGCGAAGCCATAGTAATCTTGTCACAATCTTGCCGCGCAATACCCAATTTGAATCGCTATCGCGGACGTACATATTCGTGAATTTTTCGCGTCCGCCAAAACTCGCTGTTGTGTCCAGAAACAGTTCGCGACAGGATCGCGATTGAGATGGTAGCAAGATTGTGTCTGAATTTGTTTGTTTCGCCGCACGGTCGCTATTGAAATCGGCTGTTTCAATAGTGATCGTGACAGGATTGTGTTCAAATTGCTTATATCGCGGCAAGATCTCGACTTCACAGCAAACCATTTCAGGATGATGAACCTGTAATTGTGAGCACTGTTAGAAGCTTTAAAAGGTTCTCGAAACCTACTTTTCATAGTTACTACTGGTTTCCACTCTTTAACTAGAAGAGTGAGAAACATTTCGCAGAGACATGCGCGTATAAAAAGAGAAAGAGAGTTCAAATACTGCCACACAAGAGCATAAAAATTTCGATGAATTCTTATGTAGAGATTTCTATATAGAAAAAGAATGAAAAACAAAAACTATTGATGCAAATCTTTTGAAAAGAAAGTTTTTCTTTAGGTAGTGAAGATACTGATTTTACCATGTTTTACCCGGTTTCTCTTCGGGAACATAATGCAATCACGATGAATCATTCACCTCAGACTCTCTTCGAGGTTGAGCTTAAAATAAGTACACAGCAATTTTATTTGTAAATACGCTCTTCCCTTCTATAATTCTTCTTAACTCGTCATAGAAATTATGATGACGATGTTTTGAACTTTAGAAAAAGTTTGATTGTTATTTCTAAAACAGCTTCAGTCTTAGACTTCTCTAAGTTCTCTCATGTATTTCTCAATTATGGTTCGACATATAACTGGTATTTGATCTCAAAATAAAAGTGAGAGCGGTCGCCATTTTATGGTTCGCTCATATATTTATATATACATTGATATATAGTGGAGATTTACTTCTTCTTTCGTGTGTGTCACGTGTTGAACTCACTTTTTTTTAAAAATTGGAGTAAATTCAGTGATTCCAGTAATAGGGATGACCACCCTTCAAGGTCAGAAGTTATCTGCAGTTATACACAATGTCAATGATTGTCTATATGGTTATGACAGCGTGAATGACCAATTCTACCCAGTGAGCGTTTCTTCACACTCTCACCCACAATATTTTATCCATAATTCCATATCCAATGTAGACCCAAATTCTAATTTAAGTCACCAGCTCCAACAACAACCATTAGTAACGTCCCGAATCCCAGAGACGTCTCCCACTTCAGCGCTGATGAATCAGCGTTCGACTAGCGCAAGTGACTCACCGTTAGTGATTCACCAACAAAATTCGACATTTGCCAATAACCAGTCGAACTTGGGTATACAACAGTCACAAACACAATCTTGTGTACTGCCACAATTATCGACAGGGATCGAGGAGGGGTCCCAAAATGTCATAGATGGTGGATATATCACGATTGGGGCAAAGCGAAAAAGTGGCAAGCAAGGTAACGCTACAACCACGATTGATAGCGATGAAGTATCAACAGAAGCTCGTCGTTTTGCCGAAACACGCTATCCATTCCCTCCTTTTTTGGTCAAATTCAAGGAGGATATTAAAGAAAGTAATGTGATTAATGAATCGAAACAATATATGGAAGTCAATTATAATGTCCAACTGGAATTCGAAGGTTACAAATTAAAAGGTAAACAAGAATTACTATTATTCGTTAAAAACCGCGAATCTTTCGTTATCCTCTTTGGATCGACGAACTGGCCATCGACATTATGTTCTCTTGATTTCCAGTTAGTGGTGCCTCGTCGTTTACCACCTCAATTTTCTATTATGCTCCGTAACGTTGCTCCTGACATGGATACGAGTCAGCTATTAATGGAATTGCAACAAGTTTATCCGGATATAATCAATGCATCTCGCATATTCAACAAAGACAGTGGACAAACAACGCTTGTTAGATTGGATATTCAAAGTGTTAAAATCATAGATGAATTACTAAGAAGAAAATTTGTATATTTGTATCATTCACGTCATCCAGTGAGTGAGTATCTAGTCCCTGCTAAAGTGTTAGTGTATTCAAAATGTTTTCAACTTGGACACTTCCGTAGCAATTGTCCTCAACAGCGGAATAGATGTAAAATATGTGGTTTGGAAATAGACGATCTCAAGAAACATCGGGAAGAAGATTGTGATAACCTATCAAAATGTGTAAGATGTAATGACAGTCACGATTCGAATGACAACAGATGTCCAACGATTAGATCTTACCGTTCCATATTAACAAAACAATTATTAAGAACAACCGAAACGAAGCAGGTCAAGGACAAGGATAAAGGAACCGCCTTTCAACATAATAATAATGATTTTTCCCCAATGGATGCGATGGTGAACATCAATCGTTACAATAGAAACGGATGGGTGGATGGGAATAATGATGAACGGTTATCCAGATTAGAAAAAAATGTGGGTGAGAGGGGCGAAGAGATTAACAGGCTATTAAAGGTTGCAGAACAACATGATGAACAACTACGTCAAATGCAGCATGTAATCCAGCATCAAGAAATCCGGCTAGAACAATATGCTCAAAATTTAACGCTACTTAACGTGGATATTAAATTTTATAACGAATTTTTAGGTCAGTTTATTACCCCAGTCTGCCAAGCG